GTATCTCAGAAGGGGGAAGTCAGAAATTGATATTTACAGGCTTTTGGAGTCTAGACTCAAGTGGTTTAAGGGGAATCTGAGACTGGGGGAAGTTTTTTATACAGTACTTTAGGAATGATAAACAGAGTGAACGAGAGTCTGGAAGCAAATCTCAATAAGTAAACGGTTGTTTGATGAGCAGCTACGTGATCTATTGTCCTGAGAAATCGGCTGTTTGAGCAGCTAAAGTTCAGATAAATTGATTTTGAGGAAGTTCCTAAAGCAAACAATGGAGGTATTTATGGTGTATAGTCTTACCTCCCTGGGCGAGAATTCCTGGAACAAATAGTGAGGTCATGTTGATGTGGGCGGCTGTGGTTAAGGTATGTGGATGCAGACAGTCTCAGTTCACATGATGTACCTATGTTTATGTCACCCCTTCACCAGGCACTGGTGACAATTGCATCTTTACATTTGATTGCTGCCCATCTCTGTCCATAGTCTGATTTGCTAAACATTTTATTCCCTGTACTGATCATGGTACCTGGCCCATAAAAGATATTCAATTAATGGCCCGATGGACAGATGGGGGAAGAAATCAGAGATTACTTTGTCTTCAGTCTTGAGTAGGAGAAGTTCCAGGAATACCAAGGTGAGACTTGGGGAAGCCATTTAGAAGGCAAAGATGAGAAGTTCCACTTTGGGGAAACTGAGTTTTGCTTCTAACAGAAAAGACACATTTGGACTCAGGAGAGAGAAAATCTAGGGCAACAGATGCAGATTTTATAACGTTTGTTTGTTCAGAATGGTTTTTAAAAATCAAAGTAATGTGGAGTTGTCCGACGGCTTGGGATGCCATAGAAACACTACAGGGTAGGTTATTTCCCCCCAGTTCTTAGAGCTAGAAGTTCGAGGTCAAGCTCAGTTTCATGTGAGGGCTCTCTTCTCTCTTTGTCCTTGCATTACTTCTCGTCTGTGTATCTCTTCCCCTTCTTATGAGGACACCAGTCCTAGTGAATTAGAGCCCCTTATAATCTCATTTGACCTTAATTACCTCCTTGCGTGGTCTGCCTCTAAATACAGTCACATCATGGGTTAGGACTCTAACATATGAATCTAAGGAAGACACGATTCAGTCCATAACACATTGCTCCAAATATGACTTTATCAGAGAAAAATCCTCAAAAATTCATCAGACTGGTAGTCCTCCTGAGTCTGGCTAGGATAAGACTTATTAACTATAGTAGGTGTAAAGATGGTACTAACTACATACACAGCACCTTCTGTCTGCTGGTGCTGAGTTTTACCCCCATTAACTCATTAAACCTCATAATAGCTCTATGAGGTAAGCGCTATAATCATCTTACAGATAAGGGACATAAAACACCGAGCAAAAACTGCTTGCAACTACATGAAACAGAACTGGCTACCTCAACAGAACTTTTCTATTCTGAGAAGTTCTTGCTCAAGAAGATAAAGTTGCAAAATATTCATTTCAACACCCTGAACATTCATTTACCTGAACAATAGACTGTTCAACTGGACAACCAAATTGTTTATCAGAGGATTATTTATTCATCAAGATTCACTTCAAAACTTATGCCTTGCTGAGTTCACCAGCTTTAAATTTTTAGACCAGAAATTCATCCCCTGATGAAATCAGTTTCTCACACTGAAAATTCCACCTTAAAGCAGACTCTCTAATCTTTACAAATATCTATCCTTGAAATCCTTCCTCTGAGATGCAACTAAGATTCTGTCAAGGAAGCATTCTTTCTATTGCATTAGCAATAAACTTGACTTGGCTTGACTAACCGGTTATTTTGTTGGCCTTTGCAACAGGTAACAGGACAAGGAGATCAATGCCTGTGCCCACATTCACTAATTTTACACAGAGAAGGAAGTAAGGCCAGGATTTACTGTCCAAACAGACATGCAAATCACTTGGGTAAAGAAAGTTTTAGGAAAATTAAAGGTAGAATTCTTTGTATCTCTTACAAAGCTTAGAATAATGCTAAGCTGAATTGAACCTGAGCCTAGACCAAGGACAGAAATAAGGTACTCAAGTGATTATAGCCAAAAGCATCATCCAACCAGTCAGATGAGAGAAAGATCAGGGTGGGGAAATTCCCAAGGCACTATCAGGCAGATTAAAAGCACTGTCTTTATTTATTTATTTATTTAGAAATTAGTTCTAAGAACTGTTTTCACCATTTACTAGTGATTTGACTTTGGACAGTTAACTGTTCTGAACTCACCTGTAAAGTGGAAATAATATGAGTGCTAACATTTTAGAGTAAACATGGGGACCAAGTGGGACAAAGTCTGCCAAGAATTTGTCATGGTTTAATTGGTGGCATTGTCTTTTTTATACTTTGCAGTAAGATTTGAGGGCTACGGAGGAGGGACGATATGATGAGTTGTATACTCAAAAGGAATTGGAGAATTTGAAAAGAAAATAATTAAAATTTTTCCCAGTGGGGAATTCAGGTTTAGATTTTGCTGTAGTAATTTGGGTTTTTTTTTTTTTTTCATGAAAACTGGTTACCAAAGCCAGCACCCCCTTTCCAGGCAAAACTCTCTCCATTTGGGTGCTAAAATGCCACACTTTATTTCAGAGGGCTGCCTAGGCAGGGTGTAGGATTGTAGCAGGAGGCTGACCTTAAAAGGTCAACAATTTGGAACCCTGAGAGAGATGAAATCTGTCAATGAAACATCGTGGGATGTGTGGGAGGTGGAGCTGTTGCTCTCCAGATGCTATCACTGGTGATGCAGAAGAACATGAGCTCACTGAGCCCAAGATTGTTCCTTTCCAAATGTGCTCATTCACCCACCAGGCAAGCCCTGCCCAGAAGTGCTTCTCCACACTTCAGTAAACCCAGCACTTTCTGCCTGCCACACCAGTTTTATGTGTGGCCTCCAAGGACAGAGAATCTTAGGGGGGAAGAGACTTGTTATTTCTGCATCTACAGAGATGGTACATATAGTGGGTTTACCATATGACTCTAGGTACTGTGATTTATATGCATTAATTTATTAATGATTCTTACAAACCTCTGCAGGTCTTATTATCCCTTCCATTGAACTCTTAACTTGATTTCTTTGTGTTTTCTTAATAAGTATGACTTTGTGAAAGACGTTTTTGAGATCAAGAACAATTCAGTGAGTTGTAAATTGACAGGAGGGATACGATGTGGTGTTTGGCTAAATTTTGGATCAGAGAAGAATATAAAGAATCTAAAATACCAAGTTCAAATTAGTAAGTGATAAGATGGGAAAAAGGCAGGGTGAATAAGAAGGGCTTATAGCCTCCATTTTTTTAAAAAATGGAATGTATGTATAGGTTTATTTTGTTCCATAGTTCAAGTTTTTTCATCTATTTATTTTAGTTTCTTATATATGACAGCAGAATGTATATCAATACATAGTACACACATAGAGCACAATTTTTAATTTCTCTTATTGTATACAAAATATAACTTCCATTTTAACAATGTGAATTTAGTAACTACCCCGCCAGGAGAGAGTCTCATAATATAAAAACAGAAATCTTAAGCCGGGCACACACCTGTAATTCCAGTGGTTCAGGAAGCTGAGGCAGGAGAGTCGTGAGTTCAAAGCCAGCCTCAGTAAAAGCGAGGAGCTAAACAACTCAGTGAGACCCTGTCTCTAAAATAGGGCTGATGATGTGGCTCAGTGGTCAAGTGCCCCTGAGTTCAAACCCCAGTACCAAAAAACAAAACAAAACAAAACAAAAAATACCCCAGAAGTCTTTTAGGTAATCTAGACATTATGAGACTGGAAAAGTTGGATTATTTTCTGTTTCTGATGTCCCTCTCTGAAATTGGGTAGTTTTCTAAATCCCTAAAGAATTTTTAGAATATGGTTAAAAGTTGTAAAATTTGATATTATATGTATATTCTTGCCCTCACTTCCAATTTTACGTGACTTGAGTTTTTAGTTAATGCCATCTCAAAATGAAATCTACTGGGTTTAATATTTTTCATTCCATCTCTTATCTCCATAAGATATAAGAATGATTCATTTCTGTGCTAGTAAATATCATTCCTTTCTCAGAAATAGTCAAAATACTAATAAAAGTTTTTCAAAAGTAACCCAAGGGCAATAGCTGAGCTGTGCTGGTGTGTTAAGTAAACATCATTCCTTTCACAAATGTTTTAACGTGTTGAGCAGTGTGCATTTCCAACTTACAAAATTACTTAAAGGTCCTTGAAGTAATTTTTTTTTAAAGTACCCTAGAAATAGGAGATTTGCCCAACTCTTCATGTGTCCTTCAACAACAACTTAGCAAACATTCGTGAGCATCTTCTGGACAAAAACTCCAACTCTAAGTTGGAGATGAGTCAGTGCTGGAAGTTGCACCAAGGTAATGATGTCAGAGAAGGGAGAGATCCCTAGATGGAAAGCCCTTGTTGGGAGGTGCATTTGAATTTGAATCTGAGATGGGCAAGTGGGGTGGGGTAGACGAGGGGAGCAAGGAGTGGGTGGCTTAGAGGAAGTAGAATGGTTGGTTACTAACCTATTTTGACTAAAGTGGGATTCAGGTTGTTGGGGTCCCATAGTGTAATGCTGTGAACTCACTGGGATGCTTTCTAAAGAGAGCCATTGAAAATTGGGTAAGGATTGATTTCTTTGCATAATGTTAATAGATCAGTACAAACACATCCCTTTGCCCTTCATATACATTTTCTACCAGTTCTTCTCCAGGTCTCTAGAGGTTACAGGAACTAGGATCTTCTTTGTCCTCTGGTTTGGCCAATGGGGTAAATCGCAGGAGATGAAATTTACTTCCCAGTTTCCCTCCTTGTGGGGTCATCGACGGCAGCTGCAGTCCACAACTTTTCTCAGTGACTTTGGGTTTTATCAACTCCTCCTCCTCCTCCCTTTCTGGTGGGCCTGGAGGTGATAATAGCCTGACTTGATGCCTTCTCCCTACCATCCATCCTGCCACACCTTTGTAAATTGTGCTTTTTTTTTTTTTTAAATTAAACTTTTCTCAGTTTCTCTCAAGGTGGGTCTTTCCCCTGCTGAGACCTCCACCAGACTGGAGATAAAGAAGCAATGGGATCACAGGAACAGCATCAACCTGCGTGTTTAGGCTGTATGATCTCACACTCCAGGCAGAAGTTTATTGGAAGAATGGACACCTGACACAAATTGGGCTAATCAGCTATTCTGTTCAAGAATCTTCAGGAAAAAAACTCTCCATATAGATGGAAGAACTCAGGAAGTGAACTCAGGAACTGAACTAATTTTTGTACCCTACATGCGTTGAGAGGCAAAGGAGCTTAGTCTATAGAGAAATTTACTTATTGAAGTTGTCTGAATTTGGAATGGCTTTTTGGTCTTGGGTTCCAGTCTCTCCTGAGCACCAGGTAAATTCTTGTGCTCAGGTCTCATGAGATAACCCCTGTTTTCTTACAATAAATACCACACACCCCCACCACCACATACACACACCACACTAATTTTTGTTGTTGTTGTTGATTTAAGCATATTCAAGTTATTTTGTTACTTGTAGCCAGAGTATTAACAAATACAATACCTAATGCATATAATCCTAATTCCCATTTACCACATATGAATTACTGTGTGCAAAGTTCATGTGAATTGTCTTGTTTAATCCTCTCAACTCTACTAAAAAATTGTTTTCTCATGATTCAGATCCTTCTTGACTTAAGTGTTTCTTCCAATAAATCTAAGTGCCTCTCAACTTTTTTTTTTTCTGAGTGTCCCCAAAGGGATGTCTCACAGTTTTTCATAAACCAGTGTCAGACTCCGCCATCATGCAATCTGTTCTGTTCTTTGTGTTCATTGATGATTTCACTCACAGATGGCACTGCACATCATGAAAATGATAATATCTACATTCAAGATATCACCTGGAGATGCTTCAGAATTTTCTGGTCCTCTAGGGACTCAAACACCTCTGAGTTTGGTGAAGTGATAGGGAATGTGTCTCATTTCTCGTCTCATCTCGGCTCTTTAGCAGTTCTTCCTAGGGCCAAAGGCTTGCATATAACCTCCAGATGAGAGCTATGAGTTAGTGGCCGAACTCCCCTACTTTGTGCCATGGTACACTGGTGTATCCCCAAGGTTACAGGGTTGCCAGAAGAACTCGTTGGCCACTGGGGCAGTCTGGTAGTGAGTAGAGTCCTCTCATTTGGCCTTGAGTCATCTTATTCTATCAACCCCAGTGTGGTCTCATTTTTATAAGCACAGTATTAGAAAAGAGCTCAGTGACCTATTCGCTCACACAAATTTTCTACTCTATGCTAACCAAAGGGAGTTCATATCCAATCTGGACCAAATCAACAATAGATACAATGCCATCATTTGCATGCATACATTTTCTGTTTCCTGGTATCTCTTCTTTATTAGAAGAGATATAAATGAATATATATATATATATATATATATATATATATATATATATATATTCATTTATATCTTGTATATAAATGAATCAAGGCAGGTTATGGTGTGTGTGTGTGTGTGTGTGTGTGTGTGTGTGTAGGAGAGAGATGGAAAGAAAGAGAAGGATGTTGTCTAGGTGTCTCATTAGCAAGCTCCAAATACCCACATAATATATATAATTTCCTACAAGGACAATCTTGAGAGTTAAATTGCCTACATTATCCTACTCTTTCCTACAAGGATTCTGTCTCAGCAGGTTTATCGAGAGTTAGGTCACCTACATGAGGTCACCTATTAAGTGACAGAGCTGTGATTCCAGCCTATACTTGGTTGACCCCAAAGCCATGTGCTCAATTCCTCACTCTTGCCACTCTTCTCCCCAGTGTTCCATTGAATAGGGTAAGACTTTCAATTCCCCATCTAGGGAATAAGTGTAGGGCATTCATGGAAGTATGTGTTCCAGAACTCCCTTCAAGAGAGAAATGTCAGGAGTTTAATCAAATGACAACCTTTAGCTGCAGCAACCTGGGGATCTGGTACAATACTTGAGGCAAGGACACAAACTCTCCAATTAGCTCCAGCCAAATACCCACCATGACTGGGGAGCTAGGGTCTCACCAGCTCTACTTAACCTGGGGCTCCTCATACAAGAGATCTGTAAGCTGGAGTGCCCCATGGGGCTGGCCAGCGTGGTCTCAGAGCTGCACTATGATCAGAGACTTGCTCCCCAGCCCTCTATCCTTCTTCCTTCATAGTCATGCCTGCATTTTGGTCTTAAGGCTCGCCATGCCTACTCCTGCTCTCTCACCTCTTTGTCACTCAGAGGCATTTCCCCCAGTAGATACTTCACAGCCCTAACTCCATTGATGTCTGTCCCTGATATCTGTCCATTGATGTCCCCTGATGTCTGTCCATGAGAGTAGGTGCCATGTCACATAATTCTGTTTATACTCAGTAGCACTTAATTTTGAGCGTTTCTGGATTTCATTTGCATGAACAAGCAGTTTTACATAGTGGCAAGTGGGCAATTTCAATGTCTTCCTACCAGTTCTGGGAAAGCTTTTAGCCTAAAGATACAGAATGAAAGATTAAAGATGGCTTTAGAGTATGAGACTCACCCACAAATTTTGTTTAAATGACAACTCCTGGGTCACATTTTCAGATTCTGGCTCAGAAGCATGGAGGAGGATGAAGATCCCCCATTTCTAGTGAGTACTGCCATTGGATTCTGAGTGAGGTGACCCTCAAACCACATTGGAAAAACACAGGTTTGAGAATCACTACAAAGTCCCCACTCTCACAGTCACCACTACTATATTACTATGGATTAAATGTGTCCCCCAAAGATGATGTATTGAAAACTTGATCCCCAATACAATTGTGTTACCTTTTTATCTCTTTATTCCAATGCCTTGTCCTTAATCTAGAAAATTGAAGGAGTTGAAATGATGGTATGAATAGATGGATGGATGGACAGATGGATGAAACGAAGGAAGGTTGGGAGAATGGAAATTGGGATAAACTAAAGGTGACCAGACACTTCTTGGGATTGTGTCATTTTACCTTATTCTCACATCCATATCCAACATCACATTAACTTCAATAAAAATGATATCACAGAAATATCATTTATATCAATATCATTATACTCAGTAGCACTTAACTTTGAACGTGCTTCTGGATTTCATTTGTATGAACAAGCAGTTTTACACAGTGGCAAGTGGGCAGTTTCAATGTCTTCCCACCAGTTCAAATATTCATTTGTGTATTTTAAAGTAGATTTAAATCAGTTGAAAATATTTATGAGAATATTTTAAAAACTAAATTGAAAAAGTGTTGTCCAGTCAAACTGAACAAATTTAGACTATAGGAAGTAGTATAGTGGGATCAGTCTGAGGTTAAAATCCCATTTTATTACTCACTGGTTGTGTAGCTTCAGCTTTCTCCTCTATAAAATGGGATCAATAATATTTGTACCATAACATTTATATAAGCCCAAGCCAATCGCCTGGCATAGAGTAGGTGTTCCACAAGTATTAATTACGGTCTTCCTTTCTGGCCAAAACTTAATAGAATTCTGTACTTGGAGATCAAACTCATCATTTTTTTTTTAAATTTCTAAATACATAGTCATAGAGTAGATGCCCAAAAAGTACATGTTAACTGAATGAGAAAATTGTTTCATTGCTGCTGGCTTATTTCAATTTCTAATTTTAGTTCCCTTCGGCATTAGGAAACGAATCTAAAATCATAGCAACATAACTCAAAAGATTAAGATTTTCTATCCAGAAATCTTGATTTAAATCTTCAGTGTTTGACTTTTGAGGAGAGTGCAAATGTTGGCATTATCTTCTTTATTAGCAATTTGTAAAGAACTGGGATCTCACACAGCTGCGTGCATCTCAAAGATGTACCAAGCAAAGAATAAATTTTCTGCCCACGCAAACTCAAGGCAAAAAAACCTCAAGCTGTTTTATATTATTCTGACAGCCTCAGCAAGGTTTTCTTGTTTTTCTCATACAGAAACTTGACAAAATCACAAGAATTCTCCACTAAGTAGCATTTTTACCTTATCGGACTCTCAAGGCTGGTGATACATTTGTTTTAGGAGAGACTAAAGACTCAAAAATGACAGAATTTTACAGATCTCACTGTAGCAATTCAGTAGATAAGAATTCCTCTTTTTAGTATCCAGCTGATGAGTGGTTTGAAGTCAACGAGATCTGCTTCCCTCCCCTTTTCAAGGTGCATTCTGGCTGATAGGAGTACTTCATACAGCTAGAGCAACTCACAGCTGAGGCCCAGGTTAAGGTAGTCAGCCCCTCTTAAAGTCCTTCTGGAGCCCACCTCTTATTTAAAGTATATAGCAAAAGGGGATTGAACAGATGTGAGTTTGCAGAGAGCTCCAGTTCCTGGAATCCATCATTAATACAGAACACAGGAGAGGGCTACAAAAATCTAGTATTCTCAGTACAGCTAAGTACTAGGCAAAGACCAAGGAAACTCATATACTGGGCATTAATTATGTGTGAAGCATCTAACATTGTTATGTATTTGTGTATATACTAGGCCTTTGCCTAGTCCTTAGCTAAACTGAAAATACTAGATTTCTGCAGTCCTCTCCGTGAGAGATACTGACAGATTCCAGCAAATAGAGGTATAAGCAGAACCACTCTGTTGAATTCTCCTTTCCCACTGCTGTCCATTGTTTATACTCTGACTTCTTTCAAAAGGAATATAAAGCTGCCTATGGGAAAATATTTAGGATATGTGGGGATACAATACAGCAGGAAATAAAGATGCAGCCAAAAGAAGGTACAAGCACACAGTGCATGACTCCTGGTCCCCTGGATCAGCATCAGGCTACAATTCTAATTTGGAAATTCCAGCCAGCCAATGAATGATCCCTTTACATGGTTTGCAGTGTCCAAAAGATAAAAGCAAAATGGTGGTTCTGAGACACGTAACAATTCTTTTTTATGTTTTTATTTTTATTTGTTTTTTTAAGATATACATGAAAGGAGGATGTATTTTGACATATTATACATACATGGAGTATAACTTATTCTAATTAGCATCCCATTCTTATGGTTGTACATGATGTGGAGTTTCACTGGTCATATATTCATATATGGACACTGAAAGTTATGCCCAATTCATTCCACTGTTTCTCCTATTCCCTTTTCCCCTCCCTTCCCTTCATTCCCCTTAGTCTAATCCATTGAATTTCAGACACATAACAACTCTTAGTACTGAAACCCAAGGGAGGTATTTTCTCACTCATGAGTGTGAAGGATGAGAAATATTAGTGTATTGATGGGGTGGAATACAACAACCCAGATGTGCCTGAATATGCCAAATTGTGTCTGAGCTCATTGTAAAAAACCCTGTGTACATAAAAAAATATCAGAATGGAAATCAGATTATTACTTGATTAATAGATGTTCAACCACTTGATATTTCCCCAATTCAAGGCTGTCTCATAAAAGCTGACTTCGACATGAAGCTAAAGTGAGTTCTCCTATCTCCTCCTGGAAATGCACATAGTGTCTATTAGGAAGGATTAAGACACTCAGGTTTTCTGAGTCTATACGTCTATACTATATGAAGTAGGAGAAAGAAGAGAAGTGGGCAGTTGTTAGCTATGTAAGAAACCACTCCATCCATTGGGGCACAAAACAATTATAGTCTCTTATCATTACCATTATCTCTGATAGTTCTGTGGGTTGATTGGGCTCAGCTATGTGGTTCACATTCAGAGGCTGCTACACGGTGAGTCAGATGA